TAAAAGCATTTGCTGTTTTTGTGATTTTAATTATTGTACGTGTAAATCACTTTGAGGTGGTGGTTTACAAGGTTATTAATTTAATCTTTGTAATAGTAATTTATTCCATCTGGTATACTCTGATTCTGACTGCATTGGCTATCACCCGGTTGCATCTACCCTTCCTTCATTGGGGTAGGGGAGTAAGGCTGGGATGAATGGTGTGATCAGGCAAGAAACTTGGTATGCTATTGTCTGCATGAATTGAAAGTGATGGGGCTAGCCCCCTCCCCCAGCTCCTTGATTAGTGCTGTCCTGAGCACAGCAAAATGAGAGAGAAATTATTTGTGTGACATAAAAGCCTTCAGAACAAGCCAAGCCCCATTTACAACATCAATATTTTACAGGAAGAAAATGGAGTGCAGAAACCAATCACTCAGAACCTCAGGATTCATCTGAGCAAAAAGAAAAGGAAAGAAGGAAAGAAAGGCGTTTCTAATAAATTCCCAACACAGGGTTCACCCTGACTTCCTTTTGTGACTCATTTCTAGGCACGGGTTCATGCTTTAAAATGCCATGTCTGTAGACATTAATCGTAAGTCAAATAATGTCTGCAGGAGACTATGTGGATATTTAAGTTATAATCAGAAAAATCTTAATAATTATTCATAAAGGAAACGGTTTATAAGAAGTAAATAAGGAGGCCAGATACAGGATAAAGGAAGTCTTTTATTTTGTTGTTTGTATTGTTGTATGTTATGCTTGCTGTATGTTATGTTCACGTTTAATGAGGGTGGATTGTGTATTGGGGGAGTGGGGGGTTTATGTTATGTTGTAAATAAAATTCCAATATTTTTTTTTAAAAAATAAATGTCTGTGTGCCTCTTCTTCTTCTTCTTCTTCTTCTTCTTCTTCTTCTTCTTCTTCTTCTTCTTCTTCTTCTTCTTCTTCTTCTTCTTCTTCTTCGCCCTGGCATGTTCCCAGTGAAAACCCACTCTATATATTCTATTTAATCGGAGCAAACAGTAATCTGCAGAAAACCCAAATTGCCATTTGTTCTGATTCAGCGTTAAACAGCAGGTTTTTGTGGGGGAAGTGCTGGGGCGAAGAAAGGAAAAAAGCCCCTGGACGCTGCAATTTAAAGTACAGACCTAGAAAGCATGAGGCAAAATGTAAGTGTAGATGAACCCACACTTAAACAAATTTCTGTGGGTTTTCAACATTTACTTTAAAGCCAGGCTTTAAAGTAAGATGATCTTAAAATCTTCTATTCCACCTCAGACCTGACCACATCAAAGCCTTTGGGTCAAAGCAGAGAGAGGGATGTTTCTAAGAGGTGGGTCTGGATTGGAGAAGTGGAGGGAAGAATCAACCATAATAAAGGTGTGTGTTCACATTAATATTTTTGCAGTTATAAAAGCTATCCCATCCGTTGGGCAAAAGGAACGTTTCCCCTGTGTGCAACTTGCTGTCAGATGCCAATCTGTCCCTCCTTCCATCCAATCATAGAATTGTAGAGGAGGAAGGGACACCAAGAGTCATCTAGTCCAGCCCTCTGCAATGCAAGAATCACAGCTAAAAATTCCCTGACAGATGGTCATCCAACCTCTGTGTAAAAATGGAGGAGAATCCACCGCTTTCCAAGTGAACAGCTGAACAGATCTTACTGTCCAAAAGGCTTACCTGCACTGCAAATTAAAGATATCTGTGTTGATGACACTTGGCTCTTTCTCTCTCTTTCAGCTGGTGCCACAGAGTGCATGAAAATTCTAATTTGTTGTCTGGACATAGTCATTGCCAGATTTACGTATAAGCTAAACAAGCTGTAGCTTAGGGCCCCACTCTCTTGGGAGCCCCCCAAAAAATTAAAGGAAAAACACCTGGATGTACATTTCCAAAATATAAGATAAAACAAATAAAATAAAACCTACATACAGCAACAGTGTTTTGTGTTGTGTAGGCTCCTATGATGGAAATAATGGGCCCCGTCTGCTAGCCTGCTCCCTAAAATATCACTGGTTTGTTCATTTCTATATATAGGGTGCCTGCATTCTGCATGGACTGGTTGCATGGCAACTTGTGCAAATGGCTTTAGATACCTATTAGGTCCATAAATTACCATATAGCATATATTCAACACACAAAAAACAGCAGCAATTTGTTGTTGACAGCTTAGGGCTTCATCAAACCTAAATCTGGCCCTGGACACAGTAGTGGACTGGATGCAAATGAAGCACAGTCTTAACAAGACAAGAGGTTCTAGTGGATGAATGTTAGACAATTTGATCTGTTCTGGCTTGCACTTTCCAATAATTCAGGGTGCAAGCAGAGCTGGTGGGCACCCTTTGCATTTACTGCCATCCATCTCAGGTTCAATCCTTCTGTCCCCTTTCTCAGAATCCCTGCAGATCTTTCACCTGAGCAAGACTTTTCAAATGCACTTCAGGTTTTGCCTCATAAGCAATGCTGAAATCCAAGACAGAAAATGGTCTCTTCTGACAGATTTGTTCCCCCTTTTCACCTCTAGCCCAAAGGTTGCTGCCTTGCAGCCACCAAGAGATCAATTCAGCAGGCTCCCTCTTGATGTGGCGACCCAGGGTTCAAATGCAATGCCTGCACACTGGCCCTGAGATCAAAAAGTCTTTTGGCAGTGGCAAACATCAAAGTCTAATTTTGCATATCTTGTCCTCCTGTATATGCCCTGGCACAAAGGCTTGGTCTCTTGTAGAGCAGCTTCTGTTAGTTGCTGAAATTGCATACCAAAAAAAAAAAAAAAAGGTTGCTGAGAACTAGGAAGTATGAGGCTGGACTGGTGGATTCGGTGATCCTGTCAATGCTTCTGGAACATTTGTTTATTTATTTGATGACTTTATAGCCCACCTTTCTCCCAAGTTGGGATGCAAGGCAGCTTCCAAGGTTTAAACACCTCATTATAAAACATAAAGTAATATAAACTAATAAGAACAAACCAGTTGAAGACAATAGTTACATTAAAGCACATTTAGAGTCCACAATTAAAATCCAGTTTGCCCTGACAGCAGCGCAGTAGTCCTGCAAACTGAGCAATTTACTTTTCTGCACCTAATTCTGAACAGTTGGCTGTGGCTTTTGGTGGTATTTGGGCTTCACATATTTTAAGCCAGTCCTCCTGCTCACCACCTGAATGTCCACAGCAAAACCTTGCAAAAAAGAAGGTCCCAAGTGCTTTTGGCCAGAGCTTCCAGGTGCAGTGCAAATAAATAGTAAATAATCATAAAGTCTCTTTTAAATGCCAAGGGAAAAACTAGCAGGCTGGTAGAACGAGGGTCGTTTCTCTGCTCTGCTGAACATAAGCGCGTGGTTATGGCTCAGCCCCGTCTGCTTTGACGTGTCAATGGGCCCCTTAGGAGGCATTAATCTCTGGATTATTGGCAAGGTTAGGGGAAGTTAATCATATCAACAGGAGTTTGTGTCGTTTAAAAGCAATCGCTCAGGAGATCCTGCCACACTTCCATGAGGAACTATGGGAGGAGGATTAAGCAAACCGCGAAGCTATAAACAGGGAAATGACTGGTGAAAGGCAGAAAGCAGGACCGTGAAAGGGCAAGAAATGGAAGGTCGTCATCATGCCTAGAAAAGGCAAAGTCAAACATTGCTATTACTCTTTAAGAACATAAGAAGAGAGTGCTGGATCAGGCCAAAGGTCCCCACCCCATCTAGTCCAGCATTCTGTTCTCACAGTAGCCAAACAGATGTTCCAATTGGAAGCCCGCAAGAAGGATCTGAGTGCAAGAGCGCTCTCACCTGCTTTGCATTCCAGCAACTGGTATTCAGAAGCATCACTACCTCCCACAGTGGAAGCAGGACATAGCCATTGTGGCCAGTAGCCATTGCGAACTTTATTTCTCATGCTCCTCTGGTGGTTGGAGTAGTTTTCCCACATTGTTCTGGTGGTTGAGAGGCACTCTTTTTACAGAGCCCAAATTGATTGTGCATTTTGTTCTCCTTTAATCTCAGTTATTTACTTCTAGAGTATGTAAGGAGTTGACTTGCTCACTCTCAGAGGAGCTTGTGGATCATGCAGCCTGAAGATGCTTTCTAATTGGAAGAGAAGTTTGCACAGAGGCACTGCGAGCAGCCTTCTCTGAGGGTGGGCAGCTGTTCCAAATCTCTGCACAGAGATTGACTCAGTTTCCCCAGATATACATATATATATTTAATTCCCCGTATGTAATATATTTCTATGATATTTTCACTAATATATTATTATTTTAATGCATTCTTCTTTACCCTACTATATGCATTTTTGCACACATTCCCAGGATAGAGGACTGCACTGCAAAATCCCAAGAAGTGCGGGTTTTGAAAGATGGCTGCATTTCAGTCTTCAAATTAAGAACTGGGTGGATTCATCTTGCACTGTGAACTGAGTTGAATGTTACCCCTGTGCCTAGATATGGACAGAGCTTCCAACAATGGCTAATGCTAGTTCGGACCAGAATGCAATCCAGCAGCCTCTGAGGGTTTTTCAAAGACTGGTCTGTGCTTGAGCATGGGAGAAGCCTGTAAGCTACCAAAGCTGGTTCCAGGCCACAGACCACTCTACTGCCTCTGTGGCCCAGGTTAATCAGTCCCCCCACGTTCCCACATGGCGCACTCTGCAACAAATGCGTTAAGCACTTGCTCCATTATGCTATTATCTGTGCCTAATTTGCCATCCCCTCCCCTAACATTTCAATTTCTCCCTTCGCCGATCACACACGCTTTTCAACAGCCCTTCCGAACTTGTTTTCTCTACCCCCTCTGAGATGCTCGGGAAATAGATTTGCATCGGGATCCACAGTGAACTTTCCTGACTAGCATTCCGTTCACCCCCCAGGGTTCCTGCTACCAACCAGCCAATTCCATCCCCGCCTTTCCTTTCCAGATGGACTCATCTCCCATCTCGTTATTGTTCCCTCGGGGTCCTAAGCCTGCTTGGATTTCCCAACTCGGTCCCAAACCCCTCCACCCACCCATCTGCGTGTAACGGAAATTTAAAACGCTAATGATAACGGCCGGGATTAAATGTGCAGAATCTCTTCCGGGGGGCCTTTGCCACAGAGGGCTTTGAAAGGAATTACTTGAGATCGTAGGGTGGTGCAGGGGGGATCGGGGAGCCCACCGCTAGGATGAGGAAGCCCACACACACCCATGGCTCACTTTCGGCTGCCAAATGAATTTCAAGCCAGGCCAAGATGTCAGACGTCAACAGAAGGGTTGCTATGGTGACTGAACATTGGGAAGACACTGCACTTTTCTGGGTTCTTTCAGGGAGCCATTGAGGAAGCATGTGGGGTGGGGAGGCAGCTGTGTGTGTGTGTGTGTGTGTGTGTGTGTGTGTGTAGGGGAAAATCCAGAGCACTGTGCTACAACCCTGAACTCAGTCTACATCATGTGCCGTGCCATGCCCTGCCGCATTCATTATTCATGTCATATTGAATATTTCAGACGGTGCTCACACATCCGTTAAGTGAATAAACAGACCTACATTAAGGGCCTTGAAGGTGGGGAAAGGGGAGGTGTCAGACAAGTTCTTGGAGTCCGCGCATCTCTCTTTTATGGAGTCAGATCATGAGCTCATTCGACCCCAGTGTTGTTTACTCTGCTAGCACATTTCCAAGGTCGCAGGAAGTGAGGCTGTCTGGTGTCGGGTGTTTATTGCAGTCAACTGAACCAATAAGGAGGGAAAATGCAACTTATTAAACTCAACATTGTGGCCTCAATAAAATCAGTTACCGTATTTTTCGCTCTATAGGACGCACCGGACCATAGGACACACCGGACCATAGGAGGGGGAGAACAGGGGGAAAAAATTCTCCCCCTTTCTGCTCAGCACCCCTTCAGCGAAGCGGCAGGAGAAACGGAGCCCCTTCCATTTCTCCTCCCGCTTCACTGAAGGGGCGCTGTGCAGAGAGGGAAAACTGTGCAGCGCCTCTCCAGCGAAGCGAAGCCTGGAGAGCCAGAGGGATTGGTGTGCTCTCCAGGCTTCAGGTCTCCAGGCTTCAGGTGGCTATCCGCAAGCCTTCGGATCACAGGGGGAACTCCTGCTGCACTCTGAAGGCTTGCGGATAGCTGCCTGAAGCCTCTGGAGCGCAGCGGGAGTTCCCGCTGTGCTTCGGGGGCTTCAGGCAGCTTCAGCGAAAGCAATGCGAAGCCTCCGGAGTGCGGGGGGAGCTCTCCCTCTGCACTTAGGAGGCTTTGCGTTGCTATCGCTGAAGCAAAGGAGCCAGCATTCGCTCCATAAGACGCACACACATTTCCCCTTAATTTCTGAAGGGGAAAAGGTGCATCTTATAGAGCAAAAAATACGGTATTTTAAAAAAATACAAGCTAAGCATGAACAATAGCAGCAGATCTGAGAGAAATGGCAGATACTCTTGCCACCTGCTTGGTAATAAATTAGCTGTCTTCTCAAGGAAGATACTCAGCTGGTCTCTAGAGATCAACCAGGAATCTGTGTCATAAATGTCTTGTGTTATCAAACCCCCCGATTAGAAACACATACACAAGATAATATGTACCTCTGAGGGGTTACACAGACAGTGTATACTTTCCCAGCCCATCCCCATTATAACATTAATAATAACAACAGTGAAATACAAAAAAATAACAATAACATAAATAGGGAAGTCAGAGAACAAAAATTGTATCAAATATTTTTCTCATTTTTCAGAGATTCTTTGTTCATATAAAGAAATGGGAGAGAAAGACAGGCAGAGAAATGTTCCTATCTTTACAAGGAATTCCAGCAACTGATATCTTTGAAGGCAAAGTATTAAAATGGGCTGATAAGGTAGAACTTCTGTATTAAGCTACGGTTTCCAAAATTAAATAAGGGACACATAAATGAAAAGAGAACTTATTATTGTAGTTCCACTTCCGAACCTATCAGTGGCATTCCTCCCTGTGCTTATCTTAATACACACATTATTTTGCTCCCCTCTAGAATGATAACTAAACTTCTGTCTTGAAACCATTCACCACAGTTGCAAATATGTTCAAGTTCCATCTGAAAAGCTTTGCCCTCTGGATTCCTTGTCAATGTCCCTCCAAATGCTTTTCTTCTTTCAAAAGAACATTGATGCTCCTAAGATCTGGAGATGAACTCTGCTCACCTTTCATTCAGCAGCTGGCTCCAAGACTCATTCTGCATTCCAACCACCGCGGTCCTTTTCTTGCCTCTCAGTGGGACAGGTAGGTAAGTCATCTGATTTGCTGACAGACTCGGAGACAGTTCTGACTAGAGCCGGCCTAGATTTTCAGCTAGAATTAATCTTGAGGCTGGAAATGGGGACCATTTGTCTCTGCTATTTGTTCTAGCTGGCCTTTTTGAGAAAACTGTTGTATACATAAATATCAATAAGTAATGCAATTATGTGGGTGGTTATGAATGATTTGGCTCTCCCTCTCCCTTCCTCAGCTAAGGCTGCAACTGATGTTCCATTTTGGAGTTTAAAATAACGATTTTAGTTGGGTAGATCCCACCCACCCACCAATGACAATTAGCTATGTAAATAAGGGATGGTGAGCCTGCCAATTTCAATATCTCTTAGTCCCTCATAGTTACAATCTCCATCTTGTTATTTTTTTTAAAAAAATCCCTCATGGAAATTCATTAGCATTTTAGTAAGCATTTACCCTAATATAGTGGTACCTCGGTTTACTAACTTAATCCATTCCGGAAGTCCATTCTTAAACCGAAACCGTTCTTAAACCGAAACCATTCTTAAACTGAGGCACGCTTTCCCTAACGAGGCCTCCTTTCCACCATTCGGATTCTGTTCTTAGACCGAGGTAAAGTTCTCAAACTGGGACACTACTTCCGGTTTTGTGGAGTTTGTAAACTGAATCATTTGTAAACAGGACTGTTCTTAAACAGAGGTACCACTGTATAGAGATATCTGTGTGAGAATTTTGCCTTGTATGTACATTTATTCATGCATATTTGGGGTAGAGGTGGGCATGCCTGGAGAACTCCATTGGGAATTCTGAGCGGTGTGAATTTTGGTTAGCAAAAGGGGGAGGGAGCCTGAGTTGGGTAGGCTTGCAGTAAAAGGCAGACTTTGCCAACCCCAGGCTTAATAACCCTTTAAAAATTCTGAATATTACCATTAGCTCCCATGACTGTTACTGCCCCACAATATCTATTTTTCTTCTTTTGTGGGGTGCTTGTTTCTTTTTCATATGGATGATCCCAACCAATCGGGATGCAAAGAATGACTGAGTTCCCACACTGTTCTGAAGCCTGGCACAAAATTTTCAAACTGCTGACTTAGTCCCCAGCTAGTAACTAGTTCATAAGAACCTAAGAAGAACCTGCTCATTAAGCCCAGCACACTTTATAAAAGCATTATCGCCTCTAAGCGTGGAAGCAAAGCCGAGTCATCAATAGCCGTCTGCACTATGAATTAGTCCAATCCTCTTTTAAATCCATCTCAGATGGTGGTCAGTTCCACTCGGTTCCAGTTCCAGTTCCACTCAGTGTTCAGTTAATCATGGATGGTTTATGGGTCTCAAGGTGCTGATGGTGAAGGGAATTTGACTGCAGCAAGTGGTGGGTGCTTCTATGCATTCTGCACATTTTCCAAACCTATTTCATGAGGACTAGAGACTGTGTGTGTGTGTGCGTGCGTGCGTGCGCGCGCACGTACCTTTGCTGGAGCTAGCAAAGGCCAGGTAATGTTCCCACTACAGTGGTGTGACAGGTTTGCGGTCACAGTATAAAAGCTCAAATCAAGAGACAACACGTTCTGCGAAAGGATCCCTGAACAGAATAAACTCTGTTACATTTGGCAAATTATGCAAATGTTATTTGATTGATCATTTGATTGGGAACCTGGCTGATCTGCTATAATCATTCATCAGTGCCCTGTGGTACATGAATAGCTCTTGCTTACGTGACAAATTGGCATTTATCTCTGTGTGTCCAGCTGAGTCATGACATTCGGTTCATTACATCTTGCAGGAAATGGGGGAGGGTGGCTTAGGTCAGCCTTTTGCAACCTGATGCTCTCCCGATCTTTTAAGACTACAGCTTCCATTAGCCTCAGCCTCATGGTGACTGAGGCTGATGGGATCTGTAGTCCAACATAGGAACATAGAAAGCTGCCTTATACAGAGTTAGTCCTTTGGTCTAACTATCTTAGTGTTGTCTGCACTGATCAGCAACAGGTCTCCAGGGTTTCAGACTGGGGTCTCTCCTAGACCTACCTGGAGATGCCAGGGATTTAACCTGGGACCTCCTGCATGCAAAACAGATGTTTTCTGTTGCTCCAGAGAGGAGGACCTGAACCAATGGATTCACATGACAAGAACAGAGTTTCTGACTAAACATTAAGAACTTTCTGACAGCAAGAGTTGTTCAACTTTGGAACAGGTTACCTTGGAAGGTGATGGACTCTGCTTCATTGGAGGTTTTTAAACAGAGGCTGGATGGCCATCTGTCAGGGATTTTTTTAGCTGTGTTTCCTGCATTGCAGGGGGTTGGACCAGACGATGCTTGGGATCCCTTCCAACCCTAGAATTCTATTATTCTCTCTCTGTGCAAGAGAGAATATTTTTAACACTTGGACCTGTGTTTTTAAAAGGCAAGATAACCACACACACACACTTCCCCATCTGCGGTTCATCTGGATCCTATATTGTTTGTGATGCATTTAATATTAATAAATGAGGAGCCTGATAGCTTGTAGGAGGAACCATGGAAACTTCCTCTTCTATGACACCCAGAAGGTGGGCACATAGACATCTCTCTTGGACACTCTGCAATAGAGAACAGAAATAAATTTGGGTCCATTGGAGGGATGGGTAGGTGGAGATAGTGCTTATCTGGGCCATTCCAGTTAAGGCCAGGGTGAAGTAAAATCCCAATGAGCTTTTACAAATCGGACTCAGGTGGTCTGTTTCCCCACACAACTGTCTGTGGATGGGAGTGTTGACACTCACTCTGATCAGTCTTCTTGACTGGCAGGAGAGACCCAAAGGTGTGTCTGCCTGCATCCAAGTCCAGAAAGGCAGTGAGCACCACTGGGACCTGCAACCTGCTTCTCAATGGGTTGGACTGGCTTGGAATCCCATTGTCATGGTGACCACACCGAGCTCTGGAATTTGGAGCCCCAACTGCCGCTTTTTAGGGGTTTTTTCAGGGCCCAATATGGTCAAGCAGACAATGTTGCTTATGAGCAGGGAGAATGAGGGATTTAACTAAAAATGGGTGAAATAACCCAGTCATTTAAGGGGGGAATTGTTTATTTTTTTATTGCCCCACCAGCAACTTTGTAAGCCAAATCATCTCACTGAGTCTTCAGCCTGTCTACTTGGGAGTAATCCCAAATGACATAGGTGGGGTTTACCTCAGGTTGGACATAAGCAGTACTGCAGTCTTCCCCTCTTCCATACATGCTCTCCCCCTCCCTGCCAAATGACATGGGGCTGTGATTAAAAATTATAAATAAAATATATCTGGGTTCATTTGCTTTTTGGATGATGCTTGCATATTTCTAAAATCTAGACAGGAAGTATTTATTTTTTTACAAGCTTGCTTCGTCAGTGTCTCATCTTTTTTGTGTGGAAGGGACACAGTATTTAACATTGTACCCCATTTTGTAAAACTGTACATGTCCATTTCAAGTGAACAGCAAATGAGGCAGTCATTTTTAATGGTGGGGGCCTTCGCAAATTCTCCCAAATTGACACCGTACCTCAGAATGAGGAATTCTGGGGAAAATAAAATGGCAATTCTTTTCTTCCAGAACGAATATTGCCTCATCCCGCCAAATAGTGCCAAATCAGCCGATTTCAAGGTAAGCGAAAGAGACAAGAAATCACCCAGCTGGCTCCAATTTCCTCTCAAAAAAAGGAAAATGAAGTGCATATTTTGATACACTGAAGCTGCCCAGAAGTGTGTTGTGAGCACTCCTGACACACCAAAGATGGTTACTAAGCTTGAGACAGTGTGATTCAATGAAGGCATAACTGGAAAAGTAGTGAGAGCTACTTGGAGATAGCTCAGGGCAAAATAGCACTTATTTATTCTTTAGCAATGTGGGTGGCTAATACCAGCTTGTGTGCGTGTGTGTGTATGTGTGTGTGTGTAAGAATGAAAGAGGAGAGAAATTAGAAAGTCTATTTCAAATAACAAATTGACAGAAGCTTAAAAGCTTGCTTGCTGTTCCTCTCCCCCACCCCCGGTATGGTTGCAAAAAAACAAACAAACAAACACATATAGCACTTATTGAGTGCCCAAATTGCTTTGCTTTTTCACTGGCTGTCTGGATTTATGCTTTGTTCATGTGTTTATTTAATATAGCACTGGGCAAGCAATCCCCAGCTCAACCCAGCAAATATTTTTATCCTATAAGCTCTCTCAATTGATCCCCCACATTCCACAAACACCCCTCTAATGCGCCAGGACCTGTAAATGATGTCAAAGCAATTGGGAGCAGTGACCATAGCGCTATTAAATTAAATATGCATGCAAATGATCAACTGTCAGGAAAATCCAGCATGGTCAGATTTTACTTTCAAAAGAGGAAACTCCCCCTCCCCCCCGCCCAAGGAAGGCATTGGTTAAAAAAAAAAGCTGAAAGGCAAAGTCAAGAGGTTCAAATCTCTCAAAATGTCTGGCGATTGTTTAAAAATATAGTATAAGAGGCTCAACTGGAGTGTGCACTGCTGATCAAGAAAGGTACCACAAGAGCTGTAAGAATGCCAGCGTGGTTAATGAACAGAGTCAAAGATGTTACTAGAACCAAGAAGGCTCCCTTCGAAAAATGGAAGTCTTGTCCAAATGCAGAGAATAAAAAGGAGCACATACTTTTTGCAAATAGAAAATAAGGGATGATTTAAAAATAAATAAATTGTGGAGCATATTGCTAAAAATATTAGCAGCAACAACAAGAGTTACTTTATATACATTAGTAACAGAAGACCATCAGTTGGACTCTTGGATAACAAAGGAGTCAAAGGACTGCTAAAGGAGGATAAGGAAATTACAGAGAAGCTGAATGAATTCTTCGTATCAGCCTTCACAGGGCAGATCCTGGAGGCTGAACTAACTTTTGCAGGAAATGAGCATGAGGAACTGAGGAAGATAGTGGTGATGAGAGATGAAGTTCTAGGTCCAATAGACAAAAGAAAAACTGACAAATGACTGGGTCCGGGTGACACCTACCCAAGAGTTCTCAGAGAAATTGCCGATCCTCTAATCAAAAATACTTAACTTTCCCTTAGATCAGCCTCTATACCTGAAGACTGGAAAGTCTTCAGGTATAGAGGCTGGTCTAAAGGAAAACCTATGTAACACCAATGCAAAAGCCAATTTAGCACCAATTTTTAATTAGCATTCCTGGAGGGATACGTACACATTTCTTTGTCAGCTTGCAAAGTGCTTTAAAAAAAAACATCCTTATTAAAATTCTTCAGCATTTTAGTGTGAATTTATCCTAACAAACGCTTTTTTGCACGCAGTTTTGATTAATGTACACATTTTTGCAAACAGATTCCTCGGGTTATTTTCAATGTATTTCTGGATCTGTGCAAACTTCCCCTTGATATTTGCGTTTTGGTAAATCTTATTTGGTTGGGGCACCATGTTGCAAAATTCGAATCAGTGAAAGCTTTCAATGCTCCATCCAGTCCAGCGTTCTCCCCTCGCAGTGGTCCATCAGATGCCTGTGGGAAACCCACAAGCAGGATTCAAGCACCAGAGCGCTCTCTCCTCCTGTGGCTTCCAATAACTGGCATTCAGAAGCAACTGCTGCCTTCAACTGTGGTGGCAACTCGTAGTCATTGTGACTAATAGCCATCAATAGCCCTCTCCTCCAGACTGAGGTTGATTGGGGCAGCGCCCCATCCTCCCAAGTGAAGCAGCCACCACTGCTGGAGAGGATATAGGAAAGAGGGAGTGATTGGTCCTGAAGGCTTTAGAGCATCAAACATTGCCCAGAAAGGTGGGGTGGAGCAGCAGGGGCCCATTCAACTGAAGTCAGCAGGCAATGGAAGGCTTGGCTCAGCAAGATGTCTGATTCAGCATGGTTAGTCCAGGTGGTGTTGCCCAAATTAGAAGACAATGGGAAAGGGGGGATGCTCCTCCATCTGTGCCCACACACATATTTAAAGGATTAAGCAACAATGCACTTAAAGTTCCCCAATGGTTTTAGCAATCAGTCCCTCTTCCCAGGGAGCTGCAGGGACCACTTGTGGTTGTTTGAATCTTTCCACATGCATTGTCTTCCAAATGTTTATAATAACCCTGCAAGGTGCATACTTTCCAACAGGTTGAAGCAAAAAAACCCAGGATGTGCGTCTTCTAGGGCTGCGGTTCCACAAAAGTCAAGTGACCCGAGTGAGATCATGGCCCCAGAATAGACACCCCCCAAAGACACATGTGTTTTGGGGCACTACATGAGATCTTGGCCCCAAAGGAAACACTTTCTTTTGAGCATGAGATCACATGAGATCACAGTGCCCAAAATGGCCACTGTCCTCTTGCGGGGGGAAATGGGATGTTTGGGACTCCTGAGGGGTATGAAGGTAGTCAAGCATGATTGTAGATGGAGGTCTGAAGCTGACAGGGGGCATTTGCATAAACTGCCTAGTGAGTTTAAGTCAAAGGCAAAATGCACACTAAGTACCTTACCTTAAGCTTGGTATGTCTCTTAATGATTCCCCCGTAGCAGCTCTCTATAGGGCTATAGGTCCACTGGGGGCAGGAGTTTAGGAATGTCTTCAGTGGTGGCCCGGAATATTCTCTTTTGCTTTCTCCCAGGCGCCTTTGTTACTATACATTTAAAGCAGTGCCGTGCCACTCACAGATCCCCACAAAGAATGCTGGGAGCTGTAGTCTGTTAAGCATGCTGAGAGTTATTAGAAACCTCCTTATTCCCCTCCCACAGAGAACTACAATTCCGAGAGTGGTTTAGCAATCAATCCACCTTCCCAGGGTACTGAGGGAATTGTAGCTCTGTGAAGGGCACAGGGGGGTCTCCTAGCAACGCTCAACATCCGTGACATACAGTTTCTTTAGGTGATTCTTCACCTAAAGGTGTCTGAAGCGGTATGATACCACACTTAAATAGATAGTGCCGATGGGGCCAGGGTTCCTGGCAGAATTGATGAGCAATCCAGGAAGAGTTTTATTCAGGGCAGACTGGACCCATCAAAGTCATGGAATAGGTGTGACCAGCTGCTCTCAGTTCATGGGTCTATTCTAGGGATGATGAACGCCTGAAAGGCCCACCGCTCCTCATGGACATCCTTCTGGAGCCACATGGTGGGGTCCAAGGAAAATGTCACGTAGCACAACAGGTGCTCTTGCCTCTGTAGAGTAGGCTTCTTTGTGCATGTTTTCTACACTCTATCTCCATCCATCCATCCAGACAAACAAAAGGCATCACTGCAGTTCAAGGACATAATCCAAGGAGCACCAAATGTAACACTCAGTTTTGTATTGTAGGCTGCTGTCAGAGACATGGCCGGCAGAGAGGAGTCTGCAGAGGGGAAGGAAGAGGCAGAGGAAAACAGGAACTTGATTTGTTCTCACAACAAAAGTGAGATAAGCTCTTCTCACTCTGGAATGCTGCCTGTAAGTTTTCGCAGCAACACAGAGATAAAGGAGCAGGAGGCAGGTGATAGGAGGGGGTTGGATTCAGCTCCAGAGGAGGAGGAATTGGTTGCACCTGAGTCTCCAAGAAGTAGGAGGCGGAGCAAGCGATTAGAACAAAGGAAGACCAGCAGGAAGTGGGGGTGGGCTTGGTGTATATCTGGCCTCGGAAGGGGCCGGAAGCCAGTTGAGTCAACTGACTCCGACAGTGAGGTATGAGTAGTGGGAAGCTTGGATTGCTGAAAGCCTATTGTTGATAAATAAACCTCAGCTAGTCAAACTGCCAGCGTGTCATGTCTTGTGTGAGAGAAGTGCTAAACCTGACAGCTGCCTTTCAACCATAAAGAGCTGCCAGTGCACGATTTTAATTATTTTATTGCGTTCATATCCCACATTTTTCTCCAGGGACCTCAAGGTGGCATACATG